AGAGGGGTAAGGTCCAGAGTTGGGGTTTTTGTGAAGATGGTGCTGGGTGTTGCGGACCTGGATTATGCGCTATGGTTTTTTGGCTTGATGGAAGGGGAGAGGAAACAGCAAAGGAAAGCGTGGATCCTTTCGGCAATTCTCAAGGAAGTCATTTGGGATGCTAGATGTTTATACTGGAAGAAAAATATTGTGTTTTCTGAACAAGACTGTGTGAATTTGGTTTTTGCTAAACTGTATGTTCTATTGCTCTATGACAGGAGGAGGATGGGGGAGGCAGTGGCAAATATGGTGTGGAAATACGATAGATGGGGAAGAGGGATTGATGTAGGATAGGATGTGTTTTCTTTTCTGTATTTCTATATATTTTTATGTTTTTATTTAAAACAAGCCACGGATGATGATGAGATCACTGCTCTGAAGTTGAATCCTTGTGATTTGTGAGTACGTGTTATCTTGACTGAGTGGTAAAAAAAAAAAAAAAAAAAACATAAATTACCATAGACTATGGGCACCCGAAGCTTACAGTGCCAGATGTTACAGTATTCCTTACAGCGAATGGGCAGCTAATGTGCATGCATCCAACGCGCAAGGCACCGAATGGTGGGAGGCGACATATTAAGTCTCGTTCACACCTGAGCATGGTGTTTTTGTGCATTGTTTTGCGCATTTTGATGCACATTTGCGAATGTTTGTGCGTGATTTGTTCAGCCATTTTCAGGGTTTTTGAGTTCTGTCATTTTTGTATTAGCCAATAGAGGAAAAATGAATCTGTGACAACAATTGTTGCCATGTTTTGCCATGCCAGAAAAATGCTCTTGATCATTCGACAAAATGCACTACAGTGCATGAAAACACACGATTATGTATTTCTGTGGGAATGAAAATGCGCAAAAAATGCATCAATCTGCCCGGATGGAGCTACAAAATTAGCTCCAAAGCTTTTTTTTGAGCTTCGGCATTCTGCTTCAGGCGACTTGGAGTGGAGATGTGAACCATCTCCATACAGTAAGGCCAGCCATACATGGGTCGAAATTCGACCGATTTTTAATCCGAAAATCGGACCTAAGAATAATCGGCCGAGTTTTGCTCTGTTAGTGGGTCAATGGCACCAGCCCGATTTTCGTGGTTCCTCCCCTTTTCAGTGATCGGGCATGTTGGAAAATTCATGAAAAACAACCGATTTTTGACTCAATGATGGTCAAATCGTACGATCGTTTTTCCAAAAAGAATATGCACATGAGCCGTGACCTGGAAGGAACAGAAGTTTTGCATGTTATATATGGGGTGAACTTTATAACTTGGTTGACCGATTTTCAAAATCAATGATGGCACCATCAGATTACCGAGCGAACAACGTTTTCGATTTTCGGACGAAAAATCATTCGGAATTCGAACCATGTATGGCCTGCATAATACTGATTTTTTTTTTCCCCTGAGCATTTTGGAACTACAGTTGTGAATGGAGCCTCAAGGTGTCACCAAGAAGATACTGAAGACGAAGGTGACACCGCCTAGGTGATCGGAAACGGAAGGTGTCCTCCCTCCCTGTAGTCTTTTGGGACACGTGACAGGTCCCAGAAGACTACAGGACCATTCATGAAGCGCAGCGCTACTCATGCATGTGCAGTGGGTACCTGGCTGTGAAGCCGCAAGCTGTCACAGCCGGGTGCCCACACTGAAGATGCCGGCCTCCTGGAATACAGGACAGCGGTGAAACGGGCAGCGGGGACACACCGCGGGACCGAGGGACAAGTAAGTGGCTATTTTTTAAAAGTCAGCAGCTACAGTTTTTGTAGCTGCTGACTTTTATTTTTTGACAGGTGAGTGGAACTCCGCTTTAAACCAGGGGTCTCCATCCTGCGGGGATCGTCAGCTTTCTTTACAACTTTTCATAGAGTGGGTCCGGTGTCACCCCGTATAGGTTGCATGCCGACGATCCCCGCAGGATCGATCGGATCTGCAGATTGAGCATAATGGATGGGAGTCCAATCCATTATGCTCCCCAATCCGCAGATCCGATCCATCCTGCGGGGATCGTCGGCATACAACCTATACGGGGTGACACCGGACCCGCTCTATGAAAAGTTGTAAAGAAAGCCGCGTCCCCGCAGGATGGAGACCCCTGGTTTAAAGCGGAGTTCCACTCACCTGTCAAAAAATAAAAGTCATCGGATCTGCGGATTGAGGAGCATAATGGATCAGAGTCGGCGGGGATCGTCGGAGAGGGTGTCACCAAGTGTTATCGCTCCGGGTGACACCAACCCTAGGGACGGCCCTAGATGTAGAGACTGGTGGAATAGTAGACAGTTTCTGCTTTCTTGGGTCAGTTGTTAACAAAAAAGGATCCATCAGCCAAGAAAACCACACACATTGCCACTTACAAGAGCAAGGATGAAAAGATCTTCCACAGTACTGATGTGTCTATAAGTACAAGGATCAGAATTGTTGGAGTTTTGGTATTTTTGTCACTCTCTAAGGATGTGAAATCTGCACAACGTAGAAGCAAAATAGAAAATGATATGATCTAATGCTGGCAAGTACTGTATGTACCTATCCCCTAAACAGAACCATGGATAATATTTATAAGGTAACATATAACTATGCTTTAACTGAAACAACTGATAATATGCATTCACTTCTGGGACCTATACATCACCACTGTTCTGTTAATGAGATAAGTATGGAGCTTCGCTAAACCCACATTGTATGATCAGCAAGACCCAACCCAACACTTACAATTACTTGTACAGTATCCCCACTTCTCATCCTTATCATAATCCTCTGTTGTAGCGCACCAAAGACGTCCTTCCGGGCTGTCATCACTGATACAGTCCGAATGCCACTTGGACTTATACTTAAATGGGAAGACACAGGGTTCGCCAGTAGCTCTACCACCTACAGCATACATCACTGTGAAAAAAAAGCATAAAAGAGTTACCTAGCAAGGAAAAATAATGTACAGACAAAACAATGGCTGCAACAGCACAGAATACGCCCTCTGGAGTGGCCCAGTCAGAGTCCTGACCTCAACCCGATTGAAATGCTGTGGCATGACCTTAGTACATATTGGTATATATACTGTATATACACATTTTTAATTTTTTAATTGCTTACTGATATACACTTGCAAGAAAAAGCATGTGACCCCCCTTGGGATTATGTGGAGTTTTACATGAATTGGGCATAAAATGTGCTCTGAACGTCATCTAAGTCACAACAATAGAAGAACACAGTCTGCTGAACATAATACTACACAAACATTAAATGGCTGCAACAGCACAGAATACGCCTTCTGGAGTGGCCCAGTCAGAGTCCTGACCTCAACCCGATTGAATGCTGTGGCATGACCTTAAGAGAGCGATTAACACCACACCACATCCCAAGAATATTGCTACACTGAAACAGTTTTGTGAAGAGAGTGGTCCAAAATACTCCAGATCGTTGTGCAGGTCTGATCTCAACTACAGCAAATTTTTGGTTGAGGTTATTGCTGCCAAAAGGAGGGTCAACCAGTTATTAAGTCCAAAGGTTCACATACTTTTTCCTCCCTGCACTGTGAATGTTTACATGTTATGTGCAATTAAACCATGGCAACATCTAATGTTTGTGTAGTATTATGTTCAGCAGACTGTGTTCTTCTATTGTTGTGACTTAGATGACGTTCAGAGCACATTTTAGGCCCAATTCATGCAAAAATCCACGTAATCCCAAGGGGTTCACATACTTTTTCTTGCAACTGTATATATACACTGTATGTTGAAATGCATTTTTATCACAAAAATATCTGAAAAATATTTTTAAAAATAAATTTTAAATATACTTTGACAAAAATTTAATACATTTTTTAAATAAAAATCAAAATTGTAAATCAAATACATTTTTTTGGGGGGGGGGGGGGTAAATCCTCTGGAGGGCAAGTGGTTAGCAAAAAAAAGTAGTCTTAAAGCTAAACTCCGAGATAAGGAAGTAATGTCTGAATAAGAGTCCTGTGTATTCAAACTAGAATCTTGGTGTGCTTTGTGTATTTCTTCCAGATCTCTGCAGCAATCCAGTGTAAACCGTTGCCCCTGGGCAGGCACTTCCTGTAATAAAGACCTGTCGCTATTGCTCTATCATGTTATTCAGAGTGACTGGTCTTGTCCCCGCCCCCTTCCTATTGTTTCTACAAGCATCCTGATGGGTGTGGCCTGCTGAGCACCTCCCTCAGCTATGCTCTTTGGCCAGGCTAGTGGGGATGTCACTCCCACATATACAACAAGGTAATCCCCGAGTTTGAAAAGACAAATAGTGCACACAAAGTACATATATATATCCTTTGTAGCTATTGAGAAATTAAATAGATGAAACCACCTTCAGCAGTATCAATATGTCTTTGAGTACAAAGATCAGAATAGTTGGGGGTGTAGTATTGTCTGTCACTCTCCAAAGCTGCCCATCCATGGGTCACACTTTGACCAGTTCAGCAGGGACTGGCCAGATATCTCTATGTGGCCACTGTGGCGAAATATAAACCAATCAATAGAGCAACTTATGTTCAACCGCCTTGTTGGTATATTCCCCACTTGATCAGCGCCAAAGGCCATAGACTGCAGTGATGACAATGAGACCAAAACACAACACTTACATTTACGGGTACAATATCCCCAATTCTGATCCTTATCATAGTCCGCTGTTGTAGCGCACCAGAGACGCCCTTCAGAGGTGTCATCGCTGGTACAGTCCGAATACGATTTGGACTTGTATGTAATGGAAAGGCACAGTGCTCACCATGAGCAGTTCCACCTACAGCATACTTCACTGTGAAAAAAAGTATAAAATAGTTACCTTGTGAAGGAAATAATATACAGAAATAGGGCCAGATCTAGCCTATCTGGTCTGGGGGTGCAGTAAAAAAGGTTAGGGGGCATAATGTCAACACTGTGAATCACTGAAAGTCTGTCACACAGGGTCACGACCTGGGAAACACTAGTATGTATCAGGCTGACACAGAACCTGTCCTCTTTATATCATATGTTCCTATCAGAGTCCCTATTTAAATCAGGAGTCCTCATCAGAGGCCTCCTTTACACTGAGTTCCCATCAGGTGTCCCAATGAGGGTGCCTCCATCAGAGTTCCCCCTTACATCAGGGTCCCTATCAGAGTGCCCCCTTACTTTAGGGATCCCCATCAGAGTACCCCCTTACATCAGGTTTCCCCATCAGAGTGCCCCCTTACATCAGGTGGCCCCATCAGTGTGCCCCCTTACATCAGGTGTCCCCATCAGAGTGCCCCCTTACATCAGGTGTCCCATCAGAGTGGCCCCTTACATGGATTGTCCCATCAGAGTCTACATTAGAGTGCCCCCTTACATCAGGTGTCCCTATCAGAGTGCCCCCTTACATCAGAGATCCCCATCAGAGTACCCCCTTACATCAGGTGCCCCCATCAGAGTGCCCCCTTACATCAGGTGTCCCCATTAGAGTGGCCCCTTACATCAGGTCAGGTGTCCCCATCAGAGTGGCCCCTTACATCAGGTGTCCCATCAGAGTCACCATGAGAGTGGCCCCTTACATCCAGTGTTCCATCAGAGTCCCCATCAGAGTGCCCCCTTACATCAGGTGTCCCCATCAGAGTGCTCCCCTTACATGGATTGTACCCATCTGTGTGCCTCCTTACGTCAACTGTCTGCATCAGACTGGCTCATGGATTAATGCATGCATTTTCAGAGACTGGGGGGGGGGCACAGCTAAAATCTGGGTGGGCACAGTCCACCCCAGCACCCCCCTAGAGCCGCCCTGTGCAGAAATCTTTCGGGAGTAGCGCTACACTGCTTTTTAAGGACTCTCCCTTCTCCTCCCAGGTCGCTCAGGCACCTGGAGCTGTAGTTTCCTTTCAGAGAGGAGCGATTCCACCTGTTGTGGACAGGTGTCTTTTATACTGATAACAAGTTCAAACAGGTGCCATTGATACAGGTAATGAGTGCAGGACAGAGGAGCCTCTTAAAGAAGAAGGTACAGGTCTGTGAGAGCCAGAAAATCTTGCTTGTTTGTAGGTGACCAAATACTTATTTTCCACCATAATTTGCAAATAAATTCTTTCCAGATCAGCCAATGTGATTGTCTGGATTTGTTTTTCTCATTTTGTCTCTCATAGTTGAGGTCTACCTATGATGCCAATTACAGGCCTCTCTCATTTTTTTAAGTGGGAGAACTTGCACAATTGGTGGCTGACTAAATACTTTTTTGCCCCACTCTATATCGTGGAACAGGACTGATGGGCTGGGCAGTCCCATGAAATAAGGAGGGGCATAGATGGCAATAAACATGCTAAACAAAATGGAATCATTTAACAACATTATAACATATATTAAATATAAATAAATAAATAGGAAAAAAAAAAAAAAATATATATATATATATATATATATATATTAATACCATCAGTGCAGAGACGCATGATATGATATGATTCAGTAAAGCTGATAACAAGTGATTGTATTCACAAAGATCATAATACTTAAAAGAACTTGAAAATAAACTAACATCCATAAACTGTGTTTTTGATAACTGGAACTGATTCAAAGAAATTTGCAGTTTTTCTTAGGGCTCCATGTACACGGGGCATTTGGAAAACTCTTCTGAACAATGGAAACTGACTGATGGAAAGCGTCAGTTTAGCCGCGATTGCATACCACGTTTATGTGTGTTCAGAAGCATTTTTAAAAGATAACCTCAGGAGACCTTCCCAAATGCCCAGAATGCACTGAAAAACAGTAAATCATTAACTATTTCAGACATTTTGAGAGGAATAGAGAGAGCAGAAGCAGAGAGAGCAGTATGTGTTGAGATGACCTGTCTTTTCTGGTTGTATTCACTATGGATCCCATCATGAGCATAATGCGGCACGTTCTACCATTTTTTCCTTCACGTGAAACCTGGAACTGACTGCGCTGGTGTACCGGGTCCATTTGAATACATGGAAAACGCTTTGCATGCATTTCTGATGATGAAAAAAGACTCTGGACAGCATCTGGATATGGAACAGTTAAAAACATCTTCTAAACGCAAACGCATATAAATGCGGTTAACCGCATTTACAAGCATTTGGCATTTGAAACGCTGGTAAAATCTACTCCTGAACGCAAGTTTGGTGCGTCCAACTGTAAACTCAACTGCCTGTAAGCGACTGTAAACGATGATGTGTACATGGACACATAGGAAAACATTAGGGAGAGTTCAGGGGCTGCTGAAAAAAACGCAGAAAAGCTCCTCCTAAACGTCAGTTTATCAGCTGCAGTGTACATGAGCCCATAAAATAACAATTTCAATCTTGAAAGTTGATCTACTGGATGCATTCTCATACCAGAAGGAGACTGGAGCCTGGAAGTATGGGGGGTTCTTAATTATTGGAATGCCAAACCTTTAATCAGGCATTACAAAGAGATTAAGGTGGCAAAACGATTGAAAATACCATTAAATCTCTCAAAAGAGAAAACATTTTAAAGTTATATTTATAAACGTGTTATATGTTCTGTGATATTTGATAGGTTCTGAAGGGAAATGTATGTCTTTTAGGTCTGTCATTTTGTTTTCCCCCCACTCCATTTTATATTTTGTACTAACATGTTGATTAACCTCCCTGGCGGTATGATTATTTCAGATTTTTGGTGCTGAAAGCGGTACCATTTTTTTGCATGGAAATATGTATTTTTTTTATTGTAGGCTGTAATTTTTAGGAAAAACTCACTGAAATCTGTCCGAACAAGAGTCTAGTAAACATCCCGGGTATGATAAAATTTGAAACACAAAATCATAAATTATAATTTAATAAATAATCATAAAAATAATATAAAAATAATAAAAAATTTAATTCAATAATATAATCAAACCAAAAACACTGAAATGTGAAATAGAGCGCCAAGTTCGCACAATGCTGAGCTCAGTCGCAAAATCGTTTTCAGTTTCTGATGATGAATTTCCCCCACGAATCATTATCACTCAATTCTGTAAGTGGTTCTGATTTACTATCGCTGTTCTCTAGCTGATCTAAACCGCTTTTGACCTAAAGGGACACTTTTTGGACGCCATGGACATTTCTCAGTTTCCAGGCAGAAAGAACAGACAAAATGCAGGCAGGGCGCAGGACAAAGCACTAGGGACAAAATGTATGTGAAATAGGTTGAAACAGCAATGTTTTACTGTGTAAAATGAAAAAAAAAAAAAATGACATTTTTTAAAATGTTTAAATTTCCCGCCGCCGGCGGCGGCGGTGCCCGTACGTCCCGACGTCACAGGGACAGGACACAGAAGCCGGATGCCGGCATCGGCCGGAGGAGATGGCCGGGGACGCTGCAGGGGACACATCGTGGGAGCGCAGGGTAAGGTAAGTGAAGAACACATGCCGGAGCAGCGCCGCAGGGTATTCCCGAGTGTAGCTCGGGGTTACCGCTTTTGGTACTGAAATGTTACCCCGAGCTACACTCGGGAATACCGCGCCAAGGAGGTTAATTGTTTTGTATTATACCCAGAATGAGTGAATGAAAATATGCTGTCAGTTATGTGTTACAGAACTGTACTCACAATATTCTTCTATTTCTTATCTTAGCTTAGCCTTGGTAGAGACGGAGATAGTATCCAATTATTTCTTTGTACTAACAGCACCTGTTTCTGTTATGATATAATTAAAAGTCAAATACTTCTGTCCCATGGGAAAATAATTGTTGGATACTTGTAACTGATTTCAAAGCCTGAGAAAATCATGTTGACAAGTATCTAGCGAGATTCTAATGTATGTAGTAGATAAGTGTTTTAAAACAATTTAGAAACTTTCTTTATTCCTGGGAAAGTGAAACTCCACTTCTCATCACTTTTCATAATTGACGTCAATGTTTGTCTTTTTGTATTCAGCCAATCAATTACTGACAACTCAGCTTTTTGATACTCTGTGCCCCCCACCTTTCTTTTTTCTGTTATATTAATTTTCTTCCCACTAATAAACTTGAGAGATTGATTTCACCTATAACTGTGTGTATGGCTGTTGTTTCTGATGGTGAAGTCAATCCTCCCGATGCGTCCGTACCTTCAACAGCCTGATAGAGACTGATAGCCAGGGGCTGACAACCTTTCAGGTTCCAATGCTGGAATATATATAGCGAATCTTTAAACAAACCCCAGATAATATCTGTAAGCTTCTGAGGCCTATATATCACAACTGTTCTATGTAGAGATAAGTATGGAGATTTGCTAAACCTACAGCATATCATCAGCAAGACCCAACACAAAACTTACAATCACATGAACAGTATCCCCCACTTCTGATCCTTGTCATAATCTGATGTTGTAGAGCACCACAGACGCCCATCGGAAGCTCCATCCTTCGTACAGTCCGAATATGACTTGGACTTGTATGTAAATGGGAAGACACAGGGCAGACCGTTACCGTTTCCACCTACAGTATACATCACTGTAGAAAAAAAGTATAACAGAGTTACCTAGCAAAGAAAAATAATATACAGACGTCCTCTATATACCTAATGCATACAAAGATTTATCAATGAAGAGTTAAAAGAGTAATAATGTGAAGAATCCCATATTAACCATCAGAAGTTATATAGTATATGTAAAAAAGTGCAGTGCTAAAAAAAATATTTATATATATTGCGGAATGGTAAAGTGTAACACCTAAAAGTGCAAAAACATTACTAATATATATATATATAACTGTTTTTTTTAAATGCATTTTTTTCTGATGCATTTTTTTCTGATGTGCTTTACATTTTGTCACTCAAAGTGCATATGTCTCCATAAACTTCTTACCAGTTACCAGCCCTTAGATGTGGTGGCTGCATTAGTTTTCTTTTTCAAGATTATATTTCTTTATTTCACCTGGTGATTCTGCCAGTAACACACTTACAGTTGTAGGGTGACTACACTCACTTCTCCACTGTATCCATGCGTTGTCAGCCAAGCTGCTTTCCTGAATAGCACAAAAAACAGGTCCTCCTCTACTCATTTTCATTACACAAATTGGTGGGTGGGGAGGTATTTGTAGTTTACAGAAGGCAAATTGGAAAGCAGAAAATGTACTGACTGAAATGCAAGACGTACATCCACCTAAATCTGTGTTATCAACCTCTTCTAGTCCTTGTCCAGCACAGTGGGAGAGGGAGAAGCAGTACAAGGAACCAATCAGTTGTGTTTCAGTACTTATGTGCTAATAAGGAACATGCTGATAGGAGGAAAGAGCAGAGTGACAGAGAGATTAAGGCCTTTTTCAGATGGGGCGGACCCACCAGTGGATCCCTTTGCTCAGCGGGGGATCTCTCCGTTGATCCCCCGCTGAGCAAGCGGATGACAGGTCTGTATCTGCTCCATGCTGCACAGCAGACACAGACACCGCCTGCTTTTTCCTATGGGGTGGTCAGATGGAAACAGAACGCCTGTCTGTTTCCACCCAACTGTCATCCAATCTGATCCGCTGTACAGGATCAGATCAGATGGGTGTCAGCGGACACTTGAGGCCCATAGAGGCCTTTG